GTGTTCTTAGAATAGTGGAAGAAATATAAATTGGGTTTGTCACCGTTAGATGATGTGTGATCCTTATTCTGACCATAGGAAACATTTGTTCATTGCTTAACAGCTAGAATATTTTCTGGAAAAAGTAATCTCAAAACTTTCAGCTGCCATTACACTTGTAACATGAGTGCCGCTGACTCCAGCACTTTTATAGGCTTTCACTGGAAAGTTTTATGCTTGTTTTTTATGACCTAAGTGGGAGTTATGACTTGTTTGGCATAGAGTAAGTGTCACCCATAGAAACCCCCCAGCCCCTGTATGGCTCTGGCAACCCCTCGGTCCTGATGATTTGATGCTAAATCCAAGGCTCCCATGTGGTGCTCCGAAATTGAGCTGATGCTTTTAACAGATGATTCCCATAAAAGCAATTTGATTCTGTTTCTTTTTTCCCTGCAATGAAACCGAACTTCCATCATTCTGAGTGATTTGTGAGGTTCTTGTGAGCATACGCAGGATCATAAAACTCAAGTGACACTGCCTGTATTTTCTAGAAATCTGGAAACGCCACTGGGAGAGCAAGGCTTCGCCTAGCATCAAGCTCTGCTTAATTTTGCACTTTGATACACATTTTGGCAATCCCTGCTATATAAGCAACTATTAATAGTGAATGTGCAGAACAATAGCTGTGGTGTTAGAGCTTCCTACTAGCAAGAAGACCTCATTCCTTTTCCAACCAAGATATTGTACTCATGGAGATGATTTCTCCACCAGTACCCATGAGAGCCATAGTTGGAGGGAAACTGTATGATGAAGTAATGGGTATCCAGTGTACAGACCATACGTTATCCTCAGGACGTGTCCTCCAATCCAGGCAGCTCCACAGGTGGCTCTGGTGCCAGCAAAGCCCTTGTTATCCCCTTGGGCCTTTGCCTAGCTCTGGAGGAAATAAACATTTACAGTTTAGCTGAATCCTTTCAGCTTCCTTTAATATCCCAGTTTAGACATCCTGATTAATGGTAGTAACGGGGACTAAACATTGTGTTAAGCACTAGATTATGCTAATGAATTCATGTTTGATATCTGCAAAAGAATTAATATTGATAAGCATATGTTTATGAGTTTCATGTTCAGCAAAACCTTCCAGGCAGATACCTATGTGCCAGTGCTTTGCAAATTCAGGGATCTAGCAGCTGACACAAGCATTGTAGAAACTGTAAGTAGACTAGATTTATTTTTTTTGTTTAGGGAAAAAAGAGGATACTAAATGAGATGTAAAAAATGTTCTAATAGAGCCTTATGCAGCTCCTAATACACTGCTGTGTGAAGTTCTTTAATGTTTACAGCAGTCATGAAGAAGAGTGAAGAGTGGCTGAGCAGGCAGGAAGAGAAAAATTCCTGAAGGGGAATGTGAAGCATGTTCTGCTTTACGCCGAGCTTGTATGATCCTGTGAGTTTAATATACTCAGTTATGTGTACCATGATTTAAACAACCGACAAGACAGATCCTGCTATCCAAGACATGAAATGCCCTTGCTTTCAGCTGAAACGAGAGTGCATAATCAGTCAAACTCTGATTGAAATGACAGGTTCAGTGAAAGATACTTATGGAAATTCCCAGCCAGACCTGCCTATCAGTGGTGAATTTCTCTGTTTCATTTGCATTACAAAATAAACTGCAGTTCAGAAATAAGGACTGCATATTGTCCTTTCTGCAGAGAAGTGTTTGTCACCTGCGTGGGAGAAGTAGAGTCTGATGCCTACCAGGTACTGTCCTTTTGCTAATGTAGCTTTCCTTGCGTGGAGCTCAGTGGTTAGCCAAGATTTCTTTGTCTTTGCTATTCAATTTTAACTTCTTAAAAAAAAAAATAAATTAAAAAATCAGTTCTGCTTCATGTGGACAGAGCAAACAATGAGCTCCCAGTGGAAGGTATCAGTGTCTGGAGCGTGTTCATGTTTGTGTTACAGGGCTCAGGGTCTTGCTGCTCAGGCTGGAGGAGCTTCTTGTGATGGATTATCTCTGATGGTATTTAGCAGGCAGCTCACATACAACAAACAAAGGCCAGCAGCGTTTAAGACAGATGTCTTCCAGCAGCTTAATACACAGAGATAGGGCTACGAGCAGTTCCATTTTGCCGCTTTCGTTTTCAGCCTCTGAAGTCCATACTTCAACAAATTATATAGGAATATCCTTCTTGAGCTTGTCCATATCATGCAGCTTATTTCTCTGTCATCATCTCATGAGAGGTATTTTTGAGTAGCCAGTACTTGCTAAGCGATACCCCATTCTCTGGTGATGGAAGAGATGTTATTTACTGTGTGGTGTTAATTACTGGCTCTGGCATGATGCTGAGTGCAGCGTGGTGTGATGTGGCCCCCCTGTACGTTACCTGTAGTGGCACTGCAGTTACATCGTGCGTGGCAGAGGCTGTGCCTGTGTGACCAGCAGATGGGCTGCACACAGCACCCAATGCCTAGTTGTGCCCAGCAAATCCGTGTTTGCAACATGACTTACTGTGAAATCCATTTTCCGAGGCCCCTCTCACATTCTCGAGGGGCTCTTTTTCTGCCCATTGTTTGCTTAAGTGCAGAGTGTAAAAGCATTAAAAAAAAATATATGGTTCTCTTTGACTTGCTGCAAAGGGCTGATGCTCTTCAGGAGGCCCTTAGCTGACAAGTCAAACTCTCAAAAGGCCCCTGGGAGCAGGTGCTGGCACCACTGCTCATTCAGCCCTTCTGCACGCACTGTGTGGCTGGTTTCACTCCCAACAAATAGCGCAGGCAACCTCGAGTGTCCTTTGAAAATTTGTCAATAGACATCCTATTTCTTTCTGCTTGCACAGAGCTGCTCTGCTTCCAGCTCTGCAATGTAATTGTAGTACTGGGCTGAAGGCAGCAAACAGATTTCTTCTACATGTGACACCAGGAATGGTACCTGTGCGAGATTTGGCACAGAAAGCCCTCTCCATTTATGTATCTCTACGCTTTGCTTATTGCCTTGGGGATGCAGCTGTCCTGCACATAAGCATCTATATCATAGCATGTCTTCTGGCCAGCTCTGATACAGCAGAGAAGGATGAGAAGATGCAGCAAACCAAAGAGTGACTGACAGTACGTGGTGATTTGGGTCTGTTAATGCAGCTCAAGCTGATTTTTAGTCCAGGACAAGCAATAGCTGCCAGACCCATGAGTTTGGCTCACTATCTTGAGAACAAATCACTTTGAATGGAGGGGAATAGAGTTTTTCACCAAAACCTAGATGATTATTACAATCTGCAAAACTGGCATCACACCCACAGAGGGGCAGAAGTGGCCAAATTCTGCTCTGTGGTACTTTGGTGTTCTGGTCCTGGAACAACTGAGATACGTTTCTCAGCAAGGATTTTCAAAGCTATCAATGAAAATCCAACAAATCAAAACATTAAGTACCCTTTCCTACACATGTGCCTTTCCTGGCCTCACTTTTCATCTTCCTCATGCAAATCTGCCTGTATAGTATCTGTTGGGGTCTCAGACTGGGACTTCTGATAGCCACACTGCTTTTTGTTACTGTGGAGAAAGGGGGTATGTGATGTAAGGGGTGCGGTTCATATACAGAAACGTTGTAGTATTATATGAGGCTACACAAATTGTTTAAAGCTGGTGAGTTTGATGAGAGGGAATCAAACTGCTGCTGCTATTTAATTTGCAGTCCACTAGTATGCGTGTTATTGCCAGTACAATGTGTTATTCCCAGTACAGTGGAAGCCAGTGCATCCACGTCAGTTATATTTCTGTGCAGAATATTGTGTTTCTTCTGACCTCAAACCATGCAAAGGTGGAAAAGTATTTCCAAGGAAAGTATTGCACTGTCCTTGCCTCCTTCCTCTGCTTTTCCTGCTGCATCCATCCCTGGCCACTGGTGCTGGGCTGGATAATCCTTGACCCGATCCAGGCTGACCACAGTTGTTATATGCACAGGTGGTAGCTGAAGCCTCTAGCAGGGCTCACAATGCAGGTGTGGGAGCTTTGAAAAGGGCTGAAGGGGGTACGGGAGGCTGGATTTCTGCACCTTCTCCACAAATTCCAGGGAGTCCAAAGGGCTGGAGCTCCCCTGGGGGTTCCTGCCTGCAGAAGGTCAGGGTGACCAGGTCCTACCTAAAATGCTCTTGTAACTGCCTTAGGTCCTGCTGAGGACTAGCCCTGGCTTCAGGAATTGGGCTGACCAGGTTGCACAAAGTTATCTTTGGTCCTTTGTCCCATGCAGCACCAAGTGCAGCTGAGACAAAGTCCGCAAAGAGCCCCTGCTTGCTGCTCGCACAGCCGGGCTGCTGGCGCACCTGAACATTTTGCAAATGCTGATTTAAGCTGTTGGAAAAATTATTCCAATTAAAATCTTCCTGTTGCCTTAGACAAGGAATTCTTTTCCTTGTTTTGTTGTCAGAATCCTTATCCCCATCTGTTACTGGGGCAAAACAAGCTCCTAGCCCTGACATCTCATTCATGGATAAAGCTTGCATTGTAACTTACTTTAAAAAGCTGAAGGCTGGGGACGGCAGCAAAACTGCCCTTGAATTCCCTGGGAGCAGAATCGAGCCTCTCCTGACACCGGGGAGATTTTAGAGGATCTGTGATGGTCGTGGCCAAGGTCTTGTTGCTTTGTCCTTTTAAAAGAGAACGGTTCCTGGTGGAGGAACAATCAGAATATTTGTCTCTTTAAATGAATGGCTCTCAGAGCCTGCACCGAGAGGCAGTCTCCCTCTCTGCGGCTGTGAGGCTACTCAGAGCCTCCAATAAATCAGCATGCAGGAGCTGAGAGCTCTGTCCTTGAAGAGATGCACAGTGACCTTGCTTACGCTTACTCTGGAGGAATAACCAGGGGAAACATAGGAGCCCAGAGAGCGAGCGGTGTCCAACCGAAGGCATCGCATTCTGCATGCAAATGCTCCGGTACCGAAGGCAGGGTACGGACAGCACGCTGCTTCTCAAAATGCAGCTTTCCTGCTAGCCTGACCAGATTGCTGCTGTTGTTTTTTTTTTTGCAGGAGATTGAATGAAATCCTCACGATCATTACATGCTTGTTCAATAATAGCACACCCCAGTCACGTCTCCTCGCAAGCACATTTCGTTGGAATCGCTGAGCAGAAGCAAAGAGGAGCTGACGACTATGTGTTTCCAACGCGGGTTGCCGGCGCCCTGTGTTTGCCATTGGCTGCAGTTTTCTGGTTTATTTGCAGCTTCCCCCATCTGGAATATGAAAATGGGATTGAAGTAGATAATTGCTAGCAGCGGGTTTTCGAGAGAGGCTTAGAGGGAGCAGAATGCCTCTCGCACAGCACAGCCTGCCTGCGCTGGAAGAGCTCTGAGAGATGATTTTAGATGTTCCCCACGTCTGAATCTCCTGGAAACTTTGCCGTGGAAGCGAGCCATTGCGCACAATCCTGGAGCTCACATCCAAAAGGGGCAAGGAAGGGGCAGCAGGGCCGAACAATGGGATACCTTGTCCTTGGATTGCTTAGAGAAAAGCCAGCAAACGTTCCCCTCGGCTTCCCAGCAAAAAGGGCGTGAAGGGGACAATGAACTGAATTTTTCCCAGCGGAGCTTCAGTGGCCTCTCAGAAGGATGGGATACACTGACCCTTCGTCAAGCAGGGATTTGCTGGGAAACAGAACTTTGTTCTTCATTTTCATCTGCGCCTTTGCCGTGGTCACCTTGCTGCAGCAGATCCTCTACGGGAGAAACTATCTCAAAAGGTAAGGGGGGTGGGAAGGAATGGGAAAAGTTCTCTGATGGGACTGGAGGGAGGCAGAGATCGAGCCTCAGCATTACACCGGTTCAAACCACTTCCTCGTGTTGCACTGACAATATTAAAAGGTTGTCAGTCTGGGAGAGTGCATCTCTGTAATGTTTGTAATGTCTAATAGATTATTAATAACGGGTAATGGTGGGCAGGTAGGCATATAATGACTTGTGTGTTTCTTAAACTGTGGTTTAATCCTCAGCTATTATTAAAATCCAGGTCTTACTTTACTTAAGCTAGACTGACTTGTATCACCTGAGTATCTGCCCCAATCAGACCCTGCCATATAGGCTTTTCACCGTACGTAAATTCAAGCTGAAATGCCTTGAGAGGCTGAATTCAGGCAGCGTGGTCATTGGCTAAACTTTAGTGTCATTAGAAACAAACATGATGCAGTTCCCAAAATCAATACTAGCAATCCTAGTGTTCCAGATATCAGAGAGAGCACTTTATTTTTGCACTGCTGTATTCTCACAAATTTACTGCTGAGACTGCTTTGTTGTAGAGCACATCAGCCTTTGATCTGCAAGCGGTCCTGCTCTTATTACGGCAAGCACCAGTGGGGATCTACGAGTATTTAACCTTGACCCACACAGAGTTTATTTTACTGAAATCTAGTTTGAAGAGTTGTGGCTTGTATGATTTTATTTAAAGCCTGTTTCTCTTACAGGCTTGGAGGTAAGTGGGTTTCAGTAGTGTAGGCAGCTGCTGTGGAATTTTTTAGTGGAATTTAGCTGAAATTTGCCAAAAGAGATCAATGGTTTGGTTCTTGCCAGGTTTGCAACTCATGTAGTTGTTTGCCTTGTGCCAAGAGCAAGCAAAATACTGACAAATCAGCAAATGTTCCTCACTGAGGGGTGGGATAGCAAGCATGACATTAATATGTATAGACAGGAGTGTTGTAGATTAGCCAGGAGCAATTTGTGTGCCCTGTGAAGCCTTGGCTGAGGGACTGTGGTTTTGGACACCTCACTGCCAGAAAAATGCGGCTCAGTTAGAAGGAACCAAAGGAAAGCAGCAGGTGTAGAAAGCATGGCAAATAACTGGGCTTGTTTGCCTTGGGGAAAATTGAGGGGAGACATGGTAACTGTCTTGAAATACCCAGTTTCTGCGAAGATGAAGGTAATGAACAAATCTCTCTGACGACTCCTGAGATGACAAGAAGTGATGAGCTTAAGTTGCAGCAGGAAAGATTTGTGTTTAACCATGAGGGAAAGCTTTTAAAGATTTAAAGCATAAGGCTAGCTAAAAAAGCATGAAATCTCCATCTTTGGGGTCTTCTGGGACCCATTAGGTAGACTAGGGTAGTACTGAGCTGCCTTGCCGAGAGGATGACTCGATGGCCAACTGAGGTCTCATCTCACCTTCCTTTCTTAGTTTTTCCCGTTTGTCCTAGAGGCCTTGCAGCCAGTACTTTCTTTTCTGTGTGTAAATGGATAAGAGCACTGAAAAATAAATCGCAAGTATTGATTGAAATGAAAAACAGCCAAGTAAAATTAAAATGGTGAGAAGATACAACTAAAACCCTTCCACTGAGTGATCTCTGTGGCCAGTCCCCTGCCTGCCTCATACCCTGGGAGCCTCTGCTGTTGTCAGAGGCAGGCAGGGAATGGAAAAAAAGGTGATGTCCAGTTCCCAGATGTGCTAGGAAAAAGTTTGGTTTCCAGCACTGCCATCCATGGGGCTCGAGGAGGGAGGTGTGCCTACATTTTGTCTCTTTGACTGAAAAACACTGTTTATTTATTTTTTTTCATTCCGGCTTGTAACGATTTGCCATTTTTCCTTCTTTTTTATTGCATGGAAGTCTCAAAGAGGGTTTCCCTCTCGGTGCAGGGAGAAAGCACTGATCTTCCTTTCTGCTGGGAAGTGGTAGTTCCCATCTGTCACAGAAATAAGAACGCAGGATATGGCGGTGTCAGCCTGCCAGTTATTAACAAAATAAAAGTCATTTACCTGCCAGCCTACATCGTCACCTTAACATCATCATGAGGGCACTTCTTCACTCTTTCCTTCCCTGAAGAGCACTGCAGTGCCTGATCCCAGGTTGGTTTTCTGCTGGCTTTAACCTTTGCTGGGTCTCTCCTTCCACAAACCTCCTGGTGTTCAGTGCCCTGCTAGAAGCTGATGCCGGCTGCAAGGCTCCCTGGACGCGTTGTAGCATGCACCCACAGGGACCACGGTGGAGCTGGTGGTTTTGGAGAGCCTCCTTGCAGAGGGGAAGAGGGATATTTATATTTTCGGTGCTGCTTGCCAAGCAGGAGCTTGGGGACGCTGCCTAAACCTAAAGCCATTCACTCGCTAGGGTTCAACGGCAATAACAGGCCTCCGGGCCTCTTCCCAAGGCAGCGGGAAGAAATTCGGTAGTATATTTAGAGAAACCTGAAAATTGCCCTGAAATAATATTCCAGTAAATGTACGGTGCTTTTAAGCCTAAATAGAGCACAGGGCTGGCTCGTTTCTCTCCAAGAAGATTGGGGAAATGGCTCGAGGCCAGCGAGGCCTGAAGCAAGCAGCTGAAACCAGCAGCTCGGGCACAGCACAGGGGAATGCAGAGATGGGACTGGTCCCAGAAAGTGGTGTGGGCATTTTTGTGGAAGAGAGATGGAAAGGAGCAGGGAATCAGCTGGTTTTATTGCCAAAAACCCCCCAAAGCTCCCCGTGGAGGCTGGTGGTCCTGCATCCACCTGTGGCCTGGCTGTAGAGATGACAGGCTTGCAGACAGGAGGGGAAGCTCCAGGAAAGAAACTCTGGTCAGAGGAATTCGAGAAGGGGTCCACCCTCCAGTCAGGTCCTCTCCTTCCCTTTAATGAGCTATTAATGAGCTCCTGGTGTCACCGGGCAAAGGGGAGAACACAGATCAGATTTCTAGGTACTCACACATTTTTCACCCATCGTATAATGTTCTCCGCTCCTTTGCCTGCTGTTTTATAATGTGCTACTGGAAAGCTGAATTCTGCCCCTTTTTCTCCCCTTTTTCCTTTTGTCTTTTCTTCCTCTTTTCCATCCTTTAGCAGACTTAAACTCCAGGCTGGAGAATGACTTTGGGAGCTCTGGTCTCTGTAGGTCCTGATCCCGAGTAAAAAGGACGATGAAATGAGATATAATTAAGAGACTTTAATACGGATCTCTGGGGTAATTATTTTTTATTTTAGGATTAATATGATTATTAAAAATCCGCTGCATTGATGATGTTAAAATAGGTTAAATGCCATGGACTTCTGCTTAAATCCAGAGCTGCTCCTTGCTTTTGTATTGACTCATCTTTCCAGTGCGCAGCTTTCAGATGAATTTGCCTTTGAATCAGATGCTCAGCTGAGGACTGGCCCTTTTTTTTTTTTTTTTTTGGTGAGCTCTTGTTTGGCCAGCTGGGAATAATCCTGGATTACATCAGGAAACTGCCACTGCCGTAAAAACTGTTGAAATGGTCCCTGTCCTCATCTTCCAACCTGTTGTGTGGAAGAAATCAATAGGACTGTCCTTGCTTGCTTTGGCAAGGGAAAAATACCAGACTAATGCTTTGTTATATGCCTATTTTCAGCTGGCAGAGTTCAAATATTGTTTTTCTAACAGCCTGACTTCCTCCCAGAGTGAGAGTCAGCTGAAGAGGTGAATTTAAAAACACTTTTGAGCCAAGAAGAACACATTTTCAAAGCTATTGAAGACTTAAACAAAGATTACCCTCAGGTCTGTCAGAGGGGGCACGTACAAAACCTCAAATACCAACTCAGCAAGAAAGAGCAAACCTTCCTGTGCAGGCAGACGGCATTATTTGAGACCGTCCTGAGACCGTGTATCCCAGGTTAATGCTCTTCTTGTTGCAGGGTATTCCTGAGAGTGTCTCAAGGTCCTATGGAGAGTGGGGGGCTGGCATCCCCATCTTGCCTAACTAACCTTGCAAGGACAGGGAGCTGAACCAGCCCCCTGGGAGGCTGGAGGTGGCAATGGGATGAAGCAGGGAGCTGATAGATTAACTCAGCTGCCTCCACAGCCATTACTGCTGGTTGTCCCATTCCATTACGTGTTGTTGCTGGTGGTTGCTTTACATAATGCTCCTATCTCCCCACATCAGTTAAAATTAGAGAGCTTGCAAGTACCTGGGATGTGAATTAAGCAAAAATCTGCAGACACTTACAGCTCTGTTGAAGGCTGCAACAGAGGCTTTTGTTGTGAAAAGTGTCCCAAAGCCAAAATGCTACCTTCAGCTACCTTCAGGTAGCTTTAAGGGTTTTTATATATTTTTTTTCAGAGTCATAATTTTCATTTGCTTTGAAAGGAAAGCATCAGGTGGCTAAGGTTTTAGTACCAGAGCATGGAGGTTATTTCTTCTCCCAGACTGCCTGGCAGAGCTCCTTAATGCAGAAAACAAGCAGGGGTTGAATCCCTGCTCCCTGTAGATTTGCTTTATTTCCAGCACCTCCACTGCGTTGTGGTTTAACCCAGCCGGCAGCTAAGCACCACACAGCCGTTCACTCACCCTTTCCCCTCCCTCTCTGGGATGGGGGAGAGAAATGGGAAAGTGAAGCCTGTGGGTTGAGATAAAGACAGTTTATTAAAACAGGAAAATAATAATAACAATAATAATAATAACAAAAATAATAATAACAATAATGACGATACAATACTACTACTACTAATGTGTACAAACAAGTGATGCACAATGCAATTGCTCACCACCCGCTGACCAATGCCCAGCCTAACCCCAAGCAGCCACCCCCTACCCCAGCTAGCCACCCCTATATATTGTTCAGCATGACCCCAGATGGGATGGAATACCCCTTTGGGCAGTTGGGGTCAGCTGTCCTGGGTCTGTCCCCTCCCAGCTCCTGCTGCACCCCCAGCCTGCCCGTTGGCAGGACAGAGCAAGAAGCTGAAACGTCCTTGGCTTGGTGTAAGCACTGCTCTGCAACAATTAAAACATCGGGGTGTTATCAGCACTCTTCTCATCCTAAGCCA